GCATCACTACTCCAACCAGCTGTACGCGCCGCTCAACCGCAACCTGCTCGGCTCCATGATACCGCACATCAGTCTGGGCCTGCGCGGCCCGCCCGGCGGCCTGCACAGTCTCTCCAGCATGTCGCACTATCACGCGGCGGCGGCCAATGCGCAGCGCCAGAGCCCTATGGGGCTCAACTTGGGCATGCCCGGCATGCCCTCGTTGCCTGGACACGGGCCAACCAATCTGCAGCATCATCTGCAGCAGGCAGCCATGGGCCTAGCCGGGCATCCCGGGGCGGCCGGCCTGACACATCCCGGCTTTTCGGCAGCCGCTGCGCTGGGCCTGGGCCCGCATCCGCACAGCCTCAATTTGAGTCACGCACACCTCTCGCCGCACCATGCCGTGCACCAGCTGCCGCCGCACTCCGTGGCCAGCTCATCGGCGGGCCCCAGTCCCGGAGTGGCTAGTAGCACGGCGGCGGCGTCATCGTCGCCGCACAGCAGCCTTAACCTAACGGTGGCTACCAGCAGCATGGCTCAAACGACGTCCACGCCCACGGCCAGCTCGCACATTCCGACCATGAGCCACTACTACCACCACGGCCACCTGGCGGCCATACACGCAGCGGCGGCTGCCAGCGGCTTGACGCCCGTCGCCGCCCATCAGCAGCCCATAAGCGCCGCAGCTCATCCGACGTCGCCCAAGATTACGCCGCCACTCGGCTCGGCGCCCAATGGAGGATCCCGCGCCGCCAACAGCCCACACGCCATGCGCCACCATATTGCGGCTGTCGTCGCAGCGGCCGCCCAGCAACAGTCGGTGCTGCTAGAGAAGTCGGGCGGAACGGCAACGGGTCCACACACACACGAGCCAACTACGCTGGACCTGACCGGCTCCAACTCAAACTCGAGCAACCAGGCGCAGTCGAGCGCCAGCAACAGCACATCCGCTGCACATGAGCTGAACGGGATTGAGTCCAACGGTCCGACGGACGGCAAGGAGGCGCAAACTCCGCAGACTGCCGTCAAGGAGGACGCACTGCAGAGCGCCACACCGCCTGTGGCTCTCGAGAAGAAGCCGGCAACGCCGAGTGCCAGCGCCAGCCAGGAAAAGACGCTGCTGCCAGACAGCTCGCCGGAGAACTCGTCGCGCCGCAGCGCCAGTCCGCCCAATACGGACAACAACAACAGCAGCAGCAACGCGAACACCAACACCAACAACTCGAGTAGCTCGGCAGCCGGAGCTGGAGCTGGAGCGGCAACCGGCGGCCCACAAGGTAATAGCACTGCGGAGGTCTGTCCAAAGGTTCTGGCTGCCTGTACGCCGCCGGCCACCAAGCAGGAGCAGTCAGAGCAGCCAGACCCACCACAGCGAGCCAAGCTCTCGCCGGACGACGCGACATGCGTGTCCGGCGGCAGCGCAGTCACGTCCACCACAAGTGGCAGCAACTCCCCGCCGGTGGTCAGCAGCAGCACCAACAGCGGCAGCGCGAATATTGCGCAGCCAGCAGCAGCGCCTGCTGCTGACGAGGTCTCCACAAGTGCCACGCCCATTGCCGAAGCATCCAGATGATCCTACCTAATCAAGGGGAAACACAAGGTGTCTTCATTCAGCTACTGCAACAGTTGTGTAAAGTCGACAGAATTTCGGGGAGTAGCTCGAGAGATCGAAACTAGTTAACATCTACCTTCAACTTAGCCGTTAATCCAAATGCCTATTTATAAACGAGAGTATACAATAATTTGTAACGTATTGCATCATCCTCATCATCGCCTAGGTGGAAAACAATTACCGTGTTTTTTTTTAAATACATGCTTATTATTAACATTATTATTACATACTTATTATCTATTATGATTTCTTTTTATTTAATTGTCAAATGTTTGCTTAGAGTTGCCCAAATAAATCATTTTGTTTATAATTCATGTTCTCTTATCATTTCAATTTCTTGGCCTTAAATTTTCTGTTGTTTTCAGATCAGTTTTTTACCCTTGTACTGTCTAAATATCCGAGGTGATATAGCAATGTCCGGCTTTCCATCTGTATATCTACATCCGTAGTAGGAAAACCCTAGGAAAATGCGAACTACTGAAAATATATTAATGTTGACTTCTCAATAAGATTAATATTCATATAATCCCTGTAAGATTTATATAGTTTTAATAAAAATGTATTTTGTTTGTTTTAGAAGACAACAAAGGTGCGGCGCAGGCACTTGGTCGCAGCAATACCGCCGAGGAGGCAACAGCCTTATGACACCAACTGTTCAGCAACTCGAACAACTAACTAATGAAAAACTTTGGCGATATTGGGATGTATCTTCTGTCGGAACGGGCACTTCATCAACAGCGCAAGCGGATGCTCGACGAGTTTCTAAAGCTTTAGGGAAGCCGCTCGCCAAAAAAAAGATAGTCGGCGCATTATGGTCCGGTTTAGAATTAACTATTGGTCATGAGGGACATAAGCCGCCATATAAACGTACATAAATATGCATACCTATCATGTAAATCCCCTTAGCAGATATCACATATTTGTTTGTTCTCGGTGTTACAATCTAATGTTTATCCAAAGTTCAACACAATTCCACAACTCGAATACATCCATGCAGATGTTGGGTTTGGAATTCGTGTAAATGTCAACTACAATTGCATGAAATGTAAAGTTAATATTGTATAAATACAAATATAAATATTGTGAGATACTCAATTGAATTATATCGCATTAAAACAATAAGAATTTTAGGCATGTACTTACTCTGTCTAATTCAAAGAACCTCTGAATGTAGTTTGCGTGCGTATGGAAAGTCGCCCTCTGAACACAACCCGTGCGATTTAAAGATAGTTGTACAATTTAGATTAAAAAGCTCGTAAGAAATTTATATATACAAAAAAAAAAAGAAAAGGAAACGAAACATTCATACTGAATAGTTGTATTTTATTCTTAAATTGCTAATAATTGTGATTTGGAGAGTACGAAAAAGAAAAAGAAAACGAAAACAAAAAAGATAATGTATGTATATGTATTATGTAAATTAAACTCAAATACAAGGTGGATAAAACGGAACTGAAATTTAGGTAAAACAAAAATAAATCAAAACGGATAATCTGGAATGGATTAACAAAATCGCGAAAGGCTTAAATTATTTTTCGAAATTGTCGAATTTTTTTCGTACACTTATGTGAGCAACTTTTTGGCCCTTATAAGCGCATTTCTATATTATGTTCCCTTTAGTTTTTATACAATTTTTATAGTATTGCCATTTGGGCACTTAAATATAATTGATACAGATGCAGACTAACCAATAATTACTTAGCAAATATTCGAAACTAAGCAAGCCCTAAACATACCCAAGCATTATAATATTGTAACAAAGCTCTCATTCTCATTATAATTCATGTTCATGCTTAATTGGTGCATACATATTAAGTAGCTAATACCTGACATCCGAGTAAGATATTGAAGACCTCTAGGTATTCACTATTTGTCCAGTTTTAGTTTACACTCTCAGCTCTTTACTCACAATTCGCACCCAAACGTACTTGTGTTTGAGATTGCCTAAAATAAAGATTTAATTTATTTTTTTAAGCATACAAATCTCGAGCAATCTGTGATATTATAAAAGAAAACAAACAAAAAGATAACTTGACAAGTTATAGCATTCGAACGTCAGCTAACTATTTGGAGCGCTAATATCTAAAAATCAAATATAACTCATTGTCGCAGCGATCTTTTGGAAATGGACTTTACGAGTGCATGCAAAACTTTTTCCGAATATGCATTTTCATGCCAATTCAGACATATGCAAATCCATGTTTTCTTTTCCTTATTGAAACAACTCTATAAAAAGAACTTAAATCAAACTAAGATGTGGGTATGAAGGTATCAGTTAAACTGAAAGTGAAAATAATTTTATTAAAAACACTAGTTTACCAGACTTCCGGTCTATGGAATCTGATACTTGTTTTGCATTTAAAATTGCCGCTACGATTCGATTTGATCAGTCCTTAAAGTCAGTTTCCTATATAGTATGCAACTTCATATGAGCAAAAGAAATTATACACTTGAAAAATAAAACAATAGAAATTATTAATCACATTTTGAGCGGCAGTTTTAAAAAAAAATAAATAAAACAACTATCAGAAACTGTTGATCGTAATATTTGTCTAAATTTGTAAGCTAGTGGAATCGTAATAGTTCTTGGATAATACAATGCATGCGGCTACAACGGATATGAAATGGTGCGCATAAATATATGTAAACTTAATCCACAAAATGCGAATGCAAATAAATAACGCATAATAGTTTCAAATACAAACCTTAACAAAATACATAAATTAAACGTATTTCTCCCTCAATCTTCGTTGTGTGTGTAAAACAGAATACAAAGTGTAAAACATAATTTTTAAGCTAACCAACAATTCCAAATAGAGATCATCGAGCAGCATATTTTGAGCAACAGTTGAATGTATGATCATAACAGTAACGTGCAACAACCAACACATCCAATAACTACAAATTATCTCAAACGTGTGGCAAGCAACAAGAGCCTGACACATCCAACAAATTATAACAATCTTGTGCAACTTTACTTAAGGCATTTATGATTTTATTGAATAAACTGTACGTAAGAGATTATAATCATGTCTTTTTGTTCAAAGCCAAACCGAAAGGTAAATAAATAATTTATAAATAATATTATTAAGCGAGGTCTTAATATCCCTAACTTCCGTAGTGGAAATTCTCCGTTTCGTCAAACCCGGAGACTAAAACGACTCTCAAACCCGCGGCTATAATCGTGCCTGGTATGGAGCGCCTGCAGGATGTAGATAGCTCTACCCTGTTAGGGTTAGCTCAAGATGTTCCTCATTTCCTGCTTTTATAGTGATCAATATTTATTGATTTCCATCCCAATTGGAGCAGAAACGAGAAAGCTGCCTCTTACGTAATAATTAACCCTTTTAAAAGTTTTTTTTCACCTTCATACACAGTTTAGACATAAGGTACTGAAATAAAGCAATTAGTTTCAACTTTGGTAAAGGTACCTATATTCGAAAAAGTATTCCAAATATAATAACAACATTTATCAAACTTAAAAACGAGTGCCCATAATAGGGATTGCCTTATGAACTATGATGTGATGCGCGTAAGATATCCGCCTTCTTCACGTACTTTAATATTCGCAGGATTGTCGACGGCGTTACTCCCTGGATGCGGCTGGCTGCGGCAATCGTTTGTGGCTGTATAAGGGTCAGTTTTTGTCGCTCCTCATTGGACAAGCTCAGAGATTTGGAGAAATAGTCGATGTCGGCGGGAATGCACAAGCTCTCCTCCCGTCGTACATCATCCACGTCACGCTGTTGTTCATCCACAAAGAACGAATAGAGTGCTTCTATCTTCAGTCTTGTAGCCAAGTCGTTGTCGTCCCGTAGCCAGCTTAGCTCGCTTGGACACAGATCTATAAGCTGGTTAACCGTTATGTTGTCCGCTGGCACGGCAAGCATGTCGAATGCAGACTTCTGTATAGAAGCCTTGGCTTGTGGCAGGCCCAGTGCTTGTCGCCAGAAATTGCTGTGCTTCTGCAAGCCCCTCAGGGCCTCTATGCCGGTCTTAAGCTTGTGCTCCGTCTGCTGAAAGTGCCGGTAGCGCTGCTCACTGACCAGTCCAAATTGGTAGCCCTTCTGCGTTAGACGCATGTCGGCGTTATCTGGCCGCAGAGATAGTCGGAACTCGGCTCGACTGGTGAACATGCGATACGGTTCGTTGGTGCCCAGTGAGGTGAGGTCGTCGATTAGTACGCCAATGTAGCCTTCAGTACGGCTAATGTTTAGCTGGCGGCCATCCTGGTGCAGAGTTTTACCCGCAGCATTCGCACCTGCTATGATTCCCTGGGCTGCAGCCTCTTCGTAACCTGTGGTGCCATTCAACTGACCGGCGAAGAAAAGGCCCGACACGCGCTTCGTTTCCAGCGTCGGATATAGCTCGCGAGGATCAATGAAATCGTACTCTACGCCGTAACCCGGCTGTACCACCTCAGCTTGCTCCAGGCCTTTAATGGCATGCACCAGTTCGACCTGCTGAGCGTGCGGCAGGGTGCACGATATACCCTGCGGATAACATAGCGGGCTGTCAAAACCCTCTGGTTCTAGCCAAACCTGGTGAACCCTGGCTCCGAATCGCAACACCTTCGACTCAATCGAAGGACAATAGCGCGGTCCCGTAACCTCCTCTGTGACATGCCGATTGACGTGCAGATTATCACGCACAATGTCATTGACACGTGGCGTCGTGTAAGTCAGATAACAAGGTAGCTGTTCCGAGGCGGACAGCCAAACATTCTTATTTAGAAACGAGAACGGCGTTGGCGGATCGTCGGCATCGTGCTTCTCTAATTTGGAAAAGTCCACGCTATTCTTAGCAATACGCGGCGGTGTTCCAGTCTTCAGGCGACCCATGCGAAAGCCCAGTCTGTTCAGAGCCTCGCCGAGCGCCTTGGCGGGCTTATCCCCAATGCGACCTGCCTCTTTTACTTCTAGCCCGATGTTAATGTGTGCGCGCAGAAAAGTACCTGTTGTGAGCACCACCGATCGACTCTGAACCAGCTCTCCGTTGTTTAAAAGTACTCCATTACAGCGCGCGCCACCGTTGGCGGATTCATCCGCATCGATTTGAAGATTATCCACGGCCGCTGCACGGATCTGCAGGTTTGGGGTGTTAAACAACTCCTGCTGCACCGCCCGCTTGTATAGCTGGCGGTCAATCTGTGCTCTTGGTCCCCACACTGCCGGTCCGCGGCGCTTATTTAGCACTTTGTAGTGCACACCTGAAACATCACAGCAACGGGCACAAACACCGTCTAGGGCGTCCACTTCACGCATAAGATGCCCCTTTCCAATGCCACCGAAAGACGGATTGCACGACATCTCACCAATTGTGTCCAGTTTATGGGTAAGCAACAATGTGCGAGCGCCCATGCGGGCAGCAGCTGCACACGCCTCTGTACCGGCATGCCCGCCTCCAATGACAACTACATCATAAATATCTCCTTTAGCCTGTGAGGAGTACAGTCGGTTCCATGCCCATCCTCGGCTCACGCAATAACGCAGCTGCTGCATTATTAGCATCAGCAAGAAACTAGTGTTGGATATTGTGTTAAGTTACTTCTGTAATTTAAAGCTACTATTCCCATAGTTCTTCTTGCTGGCTCGATACCTTTATAAATCAATCCCGTTTTGTTTGTCGTGTAAAAGTCTTATTATTACTGATCCTTTAAACTATATTTTGTTTATCATTCTTGCAAATCCCTACTTGAATAAATATAACTGATAATGCTCATGCTATAAACTTTTATTATTCATTATCCCTTACGTTGTTTTGTCAGTGAGTCTACGTTTTTTAAATTATTTTAGACGTTCCTTAATTAAATTTATGAATTTCATTCAAACATGATAGAGTAAAAATTCATTCATTTTACTTAAGTGCTTAAAACCAGTGAGAACGTTTGTGGTATTTTTGTTTGAAAATATTGCTCATCGTGACAAAGTATTTTAGATACGCCTATCGATAAATTCGATAGTTCTATACTCAGATGAAATATACTCGATACCAAAACAAATTGTCAACAGCTGATGTCAGTGTTTTGATTTAGATGCGGCAATGTGGATAATTTATGCTTTGCTGGTGCATTTGTTGCTGCTGGGATCCATATTCGTAATATACTTTCGGTCGCCTGTTATAGAAGGACTGCAGCCGCAGCAAAATCTGAAAGCTCAGCCGCCTGCGGACCGCTTGGTTCTGATAGTCACCGATGGACTGCGGGCGGAATCATTCTTCGCCAACAAATGTAATCATGTGCCGCACTTACGCGAAATATTTATGGAGGAAGGAATAGTCGGCATATCGCGCACCCGTGTCCCTACAGAGTCACGTCCCGGACATATAGCGCTGATAGCTGGACTGTACGAGGACCCTTCGGCGGTTACAAAGGGCTGGAAAGAGAACCCCATTGAGTTCGACACGTTGTTCAACCGCAGTGACCAAACGTACGCGTGGGGTGCCCAGGATGTTCTACACATATTCGAAAAGCTTGCCGATAGCGGCCGCCCAATGCATTTTGATGCCTATAATCATGACCTGGACTTCTCAGGCCAGCACAAGACCTACAAACAAGACGAGTGGGTGTTTGACAGGGTGCGCTTGCTGCTGCAACGGAAGCAGAAGGAGTTACAGAACGCCAAAAGGGTAGTGTTTTTTCTACACCTGCTAGGCTTAGATACAGCCGGCCATGTGCACAAGCCGGGTACCCCACTTTTTCTTGAGAACCTCAAGTTCACAGAGCGTGGAGTTTGGGAGATTTACAAGCTATTTGAAAAGACCTTTCCCGATCAGCGAACGGCATATTTGCTCACATCAGATCACGGCATGACGGATTCAGGTAAATAAATAATTCAATTGGTTTAATGTAAAATACTTGTACGCCTTTAATTTATTAGGCTCTCACGGTTCTGGCGCTCAACATGAAACAGAAACACCGTTTATGCTCTGGGGAGCTGGTGTTGCGGAAAGAACTTACACGGGCATCAACTTTGAAGTCAACGATGGTGGATTGGAATTGCCGCTGCGCCAACTGGAACAGGCGCAATTAACACCATTGATGTCTGCTTTAATTGGTCTCCCACCGCCTATGAACAATTTCGGCATATTGCCATATGGCTTCATGAGTGCTGGAGACCGTTACGAGGCAATGGCAGCCCACAGCAACGCACTGCAGCTTCTGGCCCAATACGTAAATCTGCAGGAGCAGCACAAGCGTGGCCTCTTTGCGCCACTTTTGAATAGTTTCGACAAACTGACATCTAAAGTGATGGATTCGTATATATCTTCTACTGCTGAAGAGCTACAGCTGAAGGAATTTGAGAACTCGCTGACACACAGTGAAACTATAATGCAACTGGCACTACAGGGAATCGATTACTACCACGGTTACTACTGCAATGCGCTTTTAATATGCACAACGGCCACCTTTTTGGGCTGGATTTATTATTTATATCGCCTACTAACTCAAGAAGCAGCACCCAAAAAAGTCGCATCGACTGTGAATAGTCACGCATCCAGGATCATTCTTGGCCTATGTTTCGCAGCTGTGCTTCTGATCGGCTTCTTAGTAGCACAACGTGTTCCACTCTCCGTAAGCTTTTACTTGCTCCTGCCCTTACCCGTCTGGATGTTGGCCCTACGGCAAGCCACAGACAACAACAGCAGCGCCGTCGACGTAAGGGCTTATGCCCAACCAACAGTTGCTCGTCAAGGGCAGGCCTCCGCTGCACAACTGCTGCTGCTCATTGCTTGCGCCGAGCTGCTAGTCTTCACATTCTTTGAGCGTCGCCTGATTTCCCTTTGCTTTTTTGCTTTTGCATGTTACAGCAACTGGCGCACATTTAAGCCCAACACAGCGGAATTTTACCTATGGTTTCTGTTAGTAATAACACTTGCCTGCTTTCCACTGCTGCCGCCCTCAGTGGGTTACCAGAACTGTTATTTGCTGCTGGCTGGTATTGTGCTTCTACTGCTGCGTGCGTTCTTAAGCAAAGAGGGTGGAAGCTACAGCAGGCACACCAAATGTTGCAATTCTCTTATTTTAGTAAATACAGCGGTCTGCGTGTATTTGCATAGTCACCAGATCGCCGTACCGCTGCCACTGAAAATTGTCAGTTGGTTGTATCTGGTGTATGCATTCGTGTCCATACAGCTAAGCAAGGAGACGGTCCTGGAAGTGCGCCTAGCGCAGATTTGCTACAATCTGGGGGCACTATACACGCTGATGTGCACCTCTTATGAGTCTTTGTTCGTGCAGCTGCTGACAATGGAATTGGCTATGGCGCTGACCGCCCAACGTGCACACAAAGAGCCATTGCAGCATCAGCAGAACAGCCTGCAGTCATCTTTACGTATAGCCTTTACCCTTTTGCTGTACACATTCTTCTCTCTCTTTGGCAGTGGAAACATTGCATCGATCAGCTCTTTTGATCCAAACATTGCACGCTGCTTTCTTAGCCACTTTGCGCCATTCGTGATCATGTCGCTGGTGCTGCTCAAGCTCGTGCTGCCCATAGTGATAAATCTTTCCATTGTGTACACCCACAGCGAGTACGCTCGTCAGCAGGAACGACAAATCTTCATATGTCTGCTAATTATCTGCGACATCATTGGATTAAACTTCCTTTTTCTTGTGCGCAATACCGGCTCCTGGCTGGAAATAGGCTCATCTATATCGCATTTCGTTATCATGGAGGTTACCACGTTGGTGATGCTGCTTCTTGCCTATGCCTCCAAAATCCTACTTCGACTGGCCAACTGCGATCATGTTCTGTCCAAACTTCACTAAATCCATTCAAGAGTTAACATCAATATCAATAGGAATTATGTAAATTATTGTTGTTTCTTGGTATATACCTAGCTATATATCTATATATATGTTATATTAAACAGATATTTTCGGAATAGGGCTCACCTAATAATTAATACCAAATATGCCCATACAGCCTAGTTAACGATTAAGAAATATACGATACGATTTTTATTGAACTTAGAAACTATAAGGCATATTAAACACGAATATATTTAAGCAACTTTTATTTTACAAAAAACTTCCAGGGAGGTCCATATATATATAGAATATTTGTTACTAAGTTAAGATACACGTATTTAAAAAGAGTAGTTTTAAAACCACATATGTATGTATGTTAAACTGTTATAATAATATATATAATTGTCAAACAACTATCTAAACACCTTCCATTTCAGCTTTGCGCTTGCGTTTCTTGAGCTTATGTTTCGTATCAGGTGCCTTTCCACGCACCACAGCTGTTTTCAGGCGCTTGGCCGCCTTCTTGCGGTCTTGCATACCAGCCTTGCGTTTGGCGGCCCGCACTGGATCATGAATCTTTTCCTGAGCCACAGCCTTGCGGCGTTCGGCACGCCGAACCATCAGTTTGTTCTGCACAACGTTGCGCAGTTTGTCGTACGTCTCGGCCCCGATGCGTTTGCGCAGGCGGCTGCCGACTCGCAATGACAGTTGGCGGAGCTCTGCATCGACGTTTTGATCCTCTTCCGACATTTCGCGCACGAGTGCCTGCAGGAAGGCCGGAGCCAAGCGTGTTACTACATCAGTGCTCAGCAATGTGGATAGCCCTTCGATGAGTGTGAACAGAGCCGTGCGCTAAGAAGAATTTGAGGAATTAGCTTATTCCAACGATTATTTTGAAACATTTGCTCTGCTACTTACAATGCTGGTGTCGTGTGGCGCCTTGGACAGCTCCTTGTTAATAAGGATGCGTATGTTGCGCACCAGCCAGTTGAGATTGATTTTACCAGCTGGTACCTGCTCGCTCTGCTCTCCCACTTCCTCCTGTTTAATGCTGAAAGGCACATCCCTGACCATGTGCGCAACAAAAAGCAGTAGCTTGACCAGCTCATCAATCATTTCCTGCGCTGTCTCACCAGGCACCACCTGTGCACACAAGTCTAACACCAAACTTTTGATGTCCTGCGCTGGCTGCGCGTAAATAAATTCCAACGCCTTGACATCATCTGCTATCTCACGTTTGATGCCCACCAACTGCCGCCCCACATACGCGTAGTCGTAGTGCGCCAAAATCTGCGTCAGCAGCTTGGCTGCATTGCAGCGTACCCAATTGTGCTCGTGGCCGAGCAGCCGCTGGCTGGCGTACGCTATTTCATCCACTGAGGGCGCTAGTACCTGAGCGCTGAGCAGAGCCTCGCCACAGTGCTCGAAGATCTTCAGCAGACAATACTGCAGCTGTATTAACTGATGGTCAACGGTGCGTTGTTGGTGCTCCAAAGCCGCTTCCATATCGAGCCCTGCAAGCAGCGCATCTTCATCGGGTGCACCATTGGATTGCTAAATGGTAGTCAGTAAACATTAAATAGATGTTCCATTAAATCACAGACTAACTTACCTTTCGTCGGGGTTTTTTGCCCAACTCAAACCCGTTCGAATGAAGTGCCACGTGTCCAGGAGCGCGTACGAATTTGCCGCCTGCTTCCGCATCGCCCAGAGTTAGCACGGACACCAGCGTGGGTAGCACTAGGGGAAGTCGCTCTGCAAAGCCCGCACGCTCTGCTTGCACGAAGCGGGAGAGCAGCGCAGCGGCCAACTCGCGTACACCTGGCTTTTGGCTGGACTGCGGCGAGGTGAAGAATAGCATGGTCAGGTCAAGCAGCGGCTGACGCTGCAATTTGTTCAGTCGGCCGAGCAGCGCCTCCAGAGCGGTGGCTACAGCTCGACGGCAAGCGGTGTCCTCGTCGTTAACCAAACGCGTTCCCAACGACAGGTACAAAAACTCCGAATGCT